GTTAACGATAATTCGTTATAACGATCCGTTTTAATGGATCCTTTGAATTTTGTTATATTGTATCGAGTTTCCACTGTAATTAAAAAAATACCTATTAAAATAATAAAACAGAAATTTAAAAAAATTGACAAATTTATTGTAACATCGTCATCGGCTGAAATTTTTAATCATACTTTAATTTAAATTAAACTTTCTTATATGGTTTAAACTTTAATAGTGTTTTGCCCCTGTACATCATACTTCTCCCGTTAGCAATTGACTCATGCCGGTTATCTGTCAAACACTGTTCTCGAGGTTAACGAAGGATAGAAAGACAGCGACAGTTGGAATGTATAGATCTGCAATTAGAAAATTGTAATCCAATAAAATTACCAATTCTCGCGCTATCACCAAGAGAAAGTTTGTCAAACCTCTTTCCGAGTAACCTGTTTCTGTGATTGTTTGAGATATTATTGCTTTTGAAAATAGTCTTTCCGTAGATTAAAAAAATTGCCATTATGGCTAAATATTTTTGCTCTTCCTTGTACAAAGGAATGTTTTTTCATCTCAAACTAGAGCTCCAATGGATTAGTTAAATATATACTCATTTCCTCTGCTTTTTTGCTTGTCCGAGTTAGTCTTTTGTGGTAGTTCCAAATCTCGAAAGGATTGCTATCGGTTTTCAGGTCTATAGCCTCTTCTGAATCAATGAATGAAGTATCAATCTGCATGGTCCTTCTTAGACTTGATATGGCTTTGCTACAACCCGTTGGATCATTGTGATATAAATTTTTAAATCTAGAATCCAAGTGTGGCAAAAGCAATCGGAAGACAGAGTTCTACGTTACTAAATCGCTTATTTATATCATTGAAAAGAATTGTTTTCAGAGATATTGTTGTCTATCTTAAAGATGTAACGTTAATTTGTTTTACACAACAATTTATCACCGGAATAATTTTAGAAATGGTCATATGTTTCATCACTTATTGTTCTCGTAGTATTCCGGAGAACAGGACTCCAGTCTAGGTATACGACTAGAAAACTGATGAAACGTACGACCAGCTTTATATCCATTGATAATCCAGTCCAGCTTTAAAAGGTTCTTTCATTCAATTCATTTCTTTAAAATTTTTATCTTTTATTTGCTTTAAGATCTTCAGCACGATTGGTTATTATAGTTCCTTTCTCTTAACAAATCTGTTGTAAATAAATCTGTGAATCTTGACATATACGGTACAATACTCAAATCAAAGGCATTGGTTCCAAAATTGAACAGGTATAAAAACCATAACTAAGATTGAACCAGTCCAAGTAACCGACGACGAACTTTCGTGACATCCACACGCATCCGACAATTGATCAAAATATCTGGCAAAGACAGATGATTCGGTTTAATAAATACGAGTTCCTGTCGGTCTGTCGGTGCTATCTTTTATCGTTTAACTCAATTACCCGCAACTTGAAGCTGTTTCCCAAGATTAATCGCTATTTAAACTTTTACTCATTTGTCGGCTTCGATACAATCGCATTACGTTCAAAACCCGCTACAATTTATCACGTAACGTTTAAAAATGTAATCTCGAAGAAATGATACCTAAATGAACTTTTTCCCGTTTTCGAATATCGATTGCAAACATCGAAGCAACTACTGAACATACTGAATTATATCTAGTTTTACAATAGGAATAATTTATCCTTTACAAACCTAACCCGAATTACGAAGGACATATTCATTTATATATATATATAAAAAAAGGCAACAACTTTTTTTACTGTATATCAAACAAATTAATTACAAGATTTAATCACATAAAAACCATTTTATGGAGGGTGATAAATACATAATTACATTTTGCAATAAAACTCGAAGTTACTAGAGACGTATCGGTGTTTTTTTATAGCTTGAGTAATCGCCATATATAATGTCAAGAGATATACGTGTCAACTTTTAATTACACACAAAATTATAAATACCGAAAAGATAAGAAATTAAATTATTATACGGTCCTAGGTCTACCTTTGTCTTTATAAATGCGTATTGCTTTGCGGTGATCATGGGAGAGGGTCGTAGTGATAAATTGTCACTATATAAATGGTCTCGTTCGCTCAAGTTGTCATTGTAAAGGCGTTCTGTCTTCTTATAGAATAGCTTCAACACCGATCGATAATATATATACTATTTTCGTATTATATTGGAACATGCAATTATATAAGTTATAAAATTATAAATTCAATTTTTTTTATGATTATACCCTGTAGTCTTTCTCGATGAAAGTCGCCTTATTTTTTATTTTCTACAAATTAAATGTCTTTAAAGTATCTGAATTTATAGTTGCATAAACTTTCCTTTCAAAATTTCTTCGACTTATTTTTAGTATTCAAAATGCTATAAAAATCCTTTTAATGTTTCTGGCTTGAAGACATTAAAAAAACTTTCTTGTAATAAATCATTAATTCTAAATCCTTTATAAAGAATTTGTTTCAAAGACGAGAAATCATTGCTGAATGTAATGTATTTAATGAAAAATTATTTAAAAATGCTGGATAAGCACACCATACACAGGTGCTGATCCTAAGCTGTAAGCAGACCATCTTTGCCTCAAAACTACAAATCTTCGTAATTTTTAGTCTAAGTTCTTCATAAATTTTTAAAATATCAATTTGATTCTTATTTGTTTGGTGAAAAATCGAATAGACATTATTCCTAAATGTCTTGAAACACATTTGTGATAATCTAAAACAAATTGCAAGCGATGATTTAAACAATGCTAAACTATAGTGTTAGGAAAATCCTTGAAAAATCTTGCGCTCGGATTTACGATCAAGCATGGAAATTGTCTAAATGTTTTTCTTTTTTATGTTAATTTTTACACGAAATTCAGGATTTAATTAATTGAAACAACGTTAAATTCTTGCAAAATAAATGTTAAAGTAAATTTCATTAATATTGTGATCACTTATAACGTAAAACAGTAGGCCTATTTAAATAAATGAAACGAGGAAAAAATATGAAATCTTTACCGATACAAATATATTTATAAAATAAAATAAAACGGATATGTTCTGTAACAGTTATCTTCTTATTATTTATAAAGGAATTCAGTTTTTTCCCAATAGGTTTAAAATAATAAAATACTCATTTGTCTCGATAAAGAAATAAGTTTACATCATTTCTAATAGTTACCGCAAAACTGTAAGCATCCTCATTGCTGGAAGGAAATGGAAATCCTTTTTTTTTTTTGAAGAAATAAGAGAATTGTTAATGGAAGAACGTGTCGACAAGCACTTGAAATTCACGAAATTGCTTGGAAGATATTAAGTTGTTTGTCAGAATTTATAGAGATGCTCCACGACCTACATCTACGATTATGTGCTTCATAACCAATTGTCTATATTTGACGTTAAAACTTTGAATAACGCCTGAATACGAAGATTCAAAGAGTAAAGTGACATTCGACGGTAGAAATATCTTGACATTTTCGAGCTGGTTATCTGGATTCAGCACTGTCAAAAAACAAAAGTACTTTTCTGTTTTGGTGCAACATCTTTCCGTTCAGCTGTTCAAGCCATACACACTTGTCATAATTTCTGTAGTCATCCAGGCCTTTCTGTTTGATTTTCATTCGGTTTCAAATTTTGTAATGTCCATATTCTTGAAGCACTTTGATTTGGACTTTCTCGCGCTCTTGAGCATAACAGAACTGTTAAGCTTGGACTCCACATTAACTGAAAACAGAAACTCAGAAACAGAACTGAAACATATAGAGTTTCCATTTCAGTTATGTTTTCGTTTTAATATGCCTACATTATTTCAGTTAATAATTAGAAAATTCCTATAGTTAAAGAAATGTAAATTTTTAACCTCTACTTTCTCAAATTCGCTTATCGGTAAAATGACATTTATAAACAACCAAACCTTGATATAACCTCCTCCTAAATAGCGCTACCTCTTAAAGCGCCAATAAATACCTGTGAACGACTCTTTCCTGTAAATATAACTTAGTAAATAGAGAAACCTTTCAGTATTCATGAAATTAATAAAGTGTACGATTTGGCAATGCAAAGGGCATTATCACCAAATCGTGTAATTTTCAAATTCAAACTTGTGTATAGACCTATTACTGTAGACAACTCAGTGATATTCGCGACCATGATCACTTCAAACTGCTTTTTATAAAATTATTTTTAAACTAATTTTAGTAATATTAAAAATTATATACTAAACCAATTACATCTCTATTTGAACTATCCGATCAAGTTAAATTATATTCTAGTGGAATAGTGATTCATACAGAATTTAGATAAAGTTTTTTAACATTTAAAAAGTAATAGGAGTGAAAGCTGCAATCAAAGTGTTCTGATAAGATTAAAATTCATAAGTTTAATCGATTGACTACGTCACGATTTATATACCATTATCATATCGTATTAAATAAATTTTTCAGATAAATGCAATAGTTTTTCAAAGTTCTTGATAAGAGATTTCAATTCGAAATCTCTTATTGCCTCAATTGCTCATTGCTATTACTTTAATTTTAGCATTCATATTTTCTGTTTTTATAAAATGTGAGTTAGCCTTTTGTTGCCGTAAGCAGTGATGAGCAAACTTTCTGAGTGAGGGCCTCATGCATTTTTTTTTTCTTACGTAGTGGCAACAAATTAGGATCTTGAGGGCTACAAGCGGCGCGCATCCCGCTTTCTCATTACTTCTATAAGGTCTTCAATTACTTTAAACAAATCTAAAATGCTGTAAAAAGAAATAAATAAAAATGTGAATGAAATTTGAAATTTTATTTATAACAACAATATAAATATAAAAATTATGCTAGACAATTGTTTGTTTATACAATAACACTTATTTGAATGTGAATTATGTTTGATTTCTATATAAATTATTACTTAAATGTATTACAAAATTGATATCTAGAATAATCATCAGGTTTGTGAGTTTTTTTATTCATTAAGCATCTATTTACTAATATAAAAGTGTTTTAGAAATTTCCTCATATTACAGTTTCGATCAGTTTCTTTGTTTCGGCTTTGCATAACGACGTTTCATCTTTCTCTTTGGTTTTACCTTTAATTTTTCTTTTCTTTCTCTGGATGACGTACTTCTTGGAGATAATGATCTTGGTGAAAGTCTTCTAGAATATTGTTTCTGTCTAATTTGGGATCTGTATTTTGGTATTTTCTTCTTTTTGAGTGTTACACGTGAATCTACAGACCTATCTTCACTAATCCCTGTAGAAGTTGAAGGTTCGGACATTTGTGTTGAAACTGGAACATCAACGATGACACTTAAGGGTGTTTTAGATTCACTTATCACAGGTTTGCTTATTTTATCAGAGATGATTTTAACAGTTTCTAGGGAATCATCGGATATTACAGGTACTCCATTGCTGAAAGGTTCAGTAATTGTCCGAATGAAACTTTTAGGTCCGAACAATGATGATTCAAACTGTTCGTCTGATCCGCTTGACGATGAAGGTATGGGCCACCCTCTAAATTTATAAAGTTTTACTTTAGATTTACGAGTTATGGGCGGAAGTACATCTTTCTGTTTTTCAGAAATTGCCTCTTCCTCTTCAGTTTCATCTGATGTATCCCATAATTGTATATCTGTACGTCTCTTCTTATATTGTTTTCGTTTATCTTCTGATAGTTTTTCAAATATACTTCTTCTTCTTCGAATAGTTCGTTTGTGCAATGATTCTGATGAATCTTTATCACGCCTGGATCTTCTGTATCGGGATTTAATTTCTCCAACATCCTCAGGAGAGTACTTCTTATCTTCGAATTTAACTTTTTTGGCAGGCTCACTAATTTTTTCGGGAAATGCTATTGTATCAGATGGAATTCCTTTCTTAAATTTAGTAACTTTTAATCTTCTTTCTTTATCCGGCTCAAGGCTGCTTATATCAGAGAAATATTTATCAGGTTTTGTAATTTTATCTTCAGGCTTTTGGAGTTCATCTATTTCAGTAACTTCAAGTTCAGATTTTATCATCGGTGATACAGGAATGATTGGTGTTAAATCAGATTCTTTATCTATTTTAGATATGATTTCATTGTATGTTTCAGTAGATGATTTACTCTCATCCGGAAAGACTACTTTTCCCTTTCTTTTGGGAGCTACATAATATTGTAAAAATTTTGGAATGTAATTGATAATGCCCTTTCTTTTAACTTTTGTGGCATCCTCAGATGAAGGAGGCTCACTGCTTTTTAATAAAACTTTTCGCTTTCGAAAAAAAGGAAATTCTCTTTTTTCTTTGTCTTCAGATTTTCGTTTCGAAATTTTTTCAACAGGCTTTTTTTGTAAATAATCTTTACTTGTTGCAGGGATTTCTGAAAGTGATATTAATCGTTCTTGCTCAGCAGATGTACTCGGTGTAGTTCTAGTTTTATCAGGGGAAATTTCTTCATCTGTTACTTCAGCAGACGATGGTTCAAACGTATCGCTAGAAAACAATCTTTTAATTATACTTTTTCCAGTAGGTTTAATTTTAATAATTTCAGGTTTCTGGCTTTCCTCGTCTTCTGGTAAAATTTCTTTAGGTATAAACGATATCGTTTTAGATTCTTCGCTGATCGTTTTATCCTGTTCAAGCTCCTCTCGTGTCATTTTTGTGCCAAGTTCTTCATGTTCTAATGGCTCAGTTGCAGATTTAATTTCTTCAGTTTTTACTTCATCTGTAACTGCAAACACTTCTTTAGATCTTTGAGGTGTAACTTTAATATCAGGTGATAAAATTTCAGAAACTCTATCTATATATTTCTGTCGTTGCTCTTCTTCATATGCGTCTGAAACTGCTTTCTCAGGAATAATTTCTGAAATATCTTTGGATAATTTTGATGGTAATTCTTCTTTAAATATAGATTCTTCATATTCTACAGTTGGTGATAGAGACTTTTCGTTATCATCTTCTGCAGATACAGACTCTTGTGGTTCGCGTTTTGCAGAAAAAGTTCTTTTTAATGCCGAAAATATATTTTCAGGTATAAATTTCTGAAGAAATGTTTTGTGTTCTTCTCTTTTAACTGTAGATACAGCTGGCAAAGACATAGATTTTTCCACTAAATAAGGTTTAATAGTAGGCAACGGATATTCGGATGGAAATTGGATAGGAGGCAACTCTATTTTCTTCGTAACAATTTCTTGAGTTGGAACTTTTTTCAACAAGAATGTCTCTGGACCGAGATCACTTTCTTTTAAAATTGGTTCAGATTTTGATGAACTTAATCGAACTTTTTTCATAAATTCATCAGCAGAAAACGAAGGTATGTTAGTAAATTTAGATACTTTCATATGTGGCTCTGATTGCCGAAATGAGATTTTTGGGACTTTAATTTTCAGCTCTTCAGTTGGAGTAATCGGGATTTTATGCGATTTTAAGGACGATTCAGTTAAATCTTCAATTTGTTGACTTTGTTTTTCGTCAATTACTTTTTCAAATGCGTCTTCATACTGTTCTTTAACCTTTCTACCATTTTTGTCAATTTTTTCAGTTATATCTTTTTTCAGACTTGTCTTGGATATTCCAGGCATAGGTTCGTATTGGGTTTCTAAATCTTCACATATAATTTCATCTGGAAATTTTGTTTCTTCTGTTACTTTAAGCTGCGATAATGATAGTAAAGACTCTTCAGATTCCATTTTCCCGGGGACAATCTTTCTTGAAGCAAATAATCTTTTAAAAATAGATGGTTCGTGTGATTTTGGAACTTTAGGTTTGGTTTTCATAATGTTTTTTACTTTGCATGTTTTCTCTTTTAAAATATTTTTAAATTTATCGTATCTTGATTCATGTTTGATTTCATCAGTATCAATTACAATTTCGGAATCATCAGACTTCGGAGAAATAATACGAATGGAATCAATCTCTTTATCAAGAGTTTCAGTCAGTGTAACTTTTGATGGTGGGATTAAATCAGAATCAGATTTTAATGTTTTTAAAACTTTGTAAGATTTTCTACTTGGAATTTCTAGATTTTTAGAAAAGTTATTTCTTATTGGTATCCCATTTAATATTATTTCCACAGCTATAATATGCTCGTCGTCAAATTTCTTCAGCATATTTGAGATATTTTGAAGAGATAATGTCGGGAATAATACAGCTAGACGTAAAAATTTCTTTCTATTGCGTTCTTCTAATAAATTTAAGTCTTCACGAAAATTATTTTCAAATGTTTTCAGCAAATTTTGAAAATTCTTCACTAAACGAATCTTCAAATAACGTCTAACACTAATTACTCCTAATATAATTAAACAAATTAAAACTAACAAGAGAAGAATGACGAAGAAAATTAGAGAGAGAGAATTTTCTATGACATCAAATGGATGATATTTTGGCTTGAAAAGTATACATTCCGAATCACTGAAAAAGAACAACGGGATAATTTAGTCGTTGTTGTTATTAGTTTAAATTTGTTTCTAATCAAAATATTATTATTTTTCTAAAAATAACAATTCCCCTCTTATTTATCGAAGTATCACATATACGAGAGTATTCGTAAAAGAATGGCAAGGTTGCACAGACGTGTATTTTCTATATTCTTAATCATTGTCATGGCATGTCTCATTCGGAACTGCAACTGCCCAATATTATGTGCGTTATTCAAAGTCTGTCTGTGTGCACGCTTTTCATCACCCGGCATACATCCAAGCAGTAGTCAAATTCCTTCCAGATCCCATCGAGCCTGCCCATTATGACAGCCTCCACAGCACGGTTACTTCTTTTCCGGAAATCTCGGAGGGATTGAAGCATTAGGGTACGTGAATTGTATTTTTCACGAATCCAATAGAAAGAATTACGTACAGTTAGGTCCAGGGAACGGTCTGTCCACTTTGGATAAGGTGATTGTGTCTGTAGCACGTCCAATCCAGCCAAGAGCGGGCCTAGAGAGAAACTGATCACCCTATACGCAAAGGCGGCAACTACATAAAGGCGAAAGAGGCGTTACCAAGAGCCTCGCGATTCAGAGGCCTTGCAGATTTAGTAGTCTATTTCAGTATTTAAATTATAAAATTGAAAATATTGTACTGCTATCTGTTGCATCTGCAGAACGATCACATTCAAAGTTAAAATTAATCCTGAACTGCTCAGATCAACAATGTGTCAACAGACTTTCTTCACTTTTGATCTTGCCCATTGAAAGAGATGTTGCTATAGAACTGGCCTTTTTTATAATTGATTAAAAAACTGTTCTCCTAAAAGCAGGAGAACAGTTTTGTAGATGAATTTCTGTATACCTATTGAATTTTCCAATTCATTGCAAAACTATTGTAGCCTACGTATTTTTATTACTTTATTGTGTGTTTTACTATCTGTTTCTATATTAAAAATGTTCATATTATTGTAAACAAAGTAAGTCTATCCTCTATACCCATCGCTCTTTTAATAGGCCGCAAAAATAAATTTTGCCTAGGGCTTCGTATATCCTAGAGTCGCCTCTTCCTATACGAGATGAAATTTGGACAGCTGAGTGCTAAATCGAGAATGTGTAAATTACATTTCATCGAAAACTGAAGGAATTAAATCTGAAATCTCACCATTCTTTTATGAACATCCTATATGTAGTACTGTACATACATTAGCGGATTTATCGATTTGTGCACTTTGCAAGTGAGAAAGGCCCGCGATTCTACGTATTCCCGAAAAAGCTTAAAACTAGCATAAGCTTAGTTTTATGATTCGNTTTTAGTCGAAGTAATTCCAGTATTTCTAGAGATATTATCTACTTTGGAATTCATACAAATGCCATTTCCACTTATCGATCCTATTCGTGCTATCCCTCCTCTGAAATGTTTGAAGAAACAATGAACAAAAAAGTGTACTAAACAAAACTCATTCTGATAATTTCCAGTTTCTTGTAACAAAGTTGAAGCTCTCGCATATTTTTGCATAACTGTAGCTTTGAAAGGGTAATTTTCGTTTTTCCAGTCCTTAAAAACTGTAATCTTTTTCAACTGAAGGCCAATATTATCCGGTAAAGAATTTCTGTTAAAGTCTGCATTACGAAAAATCTTATCTGCAAACTGTACATAAGCGCTCATTTCGTGTAACAAATAATTGATGGAATTTCCATCAACATTATATAATGTAGGATCAATAACCATTTCTATCGTACAAACTTTTTTAGTAAAACTAAAATTATTCCTGTCGTTTCTGTTTCTCCAATTACGAAATGAAGATTTACTGTTGATTACATGCCTCTTAATTCTTTCCAAATTATTACATTTTAAGTAATTACTTTCATCAGCAATTATATCCGAATCTCTATAGATAACAGCATCAAAATTTACTTGATCGTTAATATAATTTGATGCGGGTTCAATATTATATAATATTTCTTGCCATTGAATGACACTCTGAAAGATTCCATTGTTAAAATATCCAATTACAAATGATTGAGGAACATCTATTAGTACACCCTTGTACACTTCAACTCCAAGATCATTTAGTTTTGATATTTCACTGCTGTTTGCATCGTAAAATTGTACTAATGTGTCCACAGCCACCACATCCTCCATTGATGGTTCTACGACAATACGAAAATGGCGACGGAAGGCAAAAAATTCTAAATTTACTTTCTTCTTATTTAAACTACGCTCTCTTCTGAATTTCATCATCTGTCTTCCTGTTTTAATGTTGCTTTCGTTCTTAGATCTGGAAAGATACAGAATTTCATAGTTCTTAAGAAATGGAACGGGATACCTTCGAGGAACGGACGCTTCCATTTTATCATTAAAACCGGTTAAACAGAAGAATAAGATAAAATAAATCGTCATAAAATACGACATTTTGTCACGACAATTTAAAATAATTCGTCTTTTCTGTTATTAAATGATAAAAGTCACTAAAAGATAAAAATTCACAATGTTCTAATTTTTCTTTCGTAGAACAAATTCAAATTCAAGTAGAACTCTTCACGTAGAACATGTTGCTAAATTATTTTTTAATTGGAATTCAGGTGGAAATTACGACAAAGTTTTCTTAATAACGTACAGTACAACACACAATCTAATCTATATATATATATATATATAGAAATATGGACATGTATGTCCCTATATTTCACTTTTTCGCCAAAACTACACATCGCACGTGAATGGTGTTTGTATGTGGTGGTAGCCCCAAGTCTCCATTCGTGCATAGGGGTGGTTGCGTCTCGATAGCTATAAGGGTGCGGGAGATATGAGGCTAAAAGTGGTTGAAAGTGGCTTTCTATTTCGAATGTTTTGTTCGAATTTGTTCGAATTAAATTCGAACATAAAATTCGAATATTGGTTCGATTATAGAACGATTGTAAACATTCCAGAAACGTTGAAAATAGTTTGTTTGACTAAACGTAAAAATTCTCTAATTAGTCTGGAAACGGGGGACCTAATTCTTGCATTCTGTGAAAACGGGTAAGATTAGCTATAATGTAATTATCTTAATCTTCACTATCGTTACTTTTTGCCCATCGAAGCGGGTCCTTGCAGCTAGTGTAATAATAATAATAAAAATATGTAATATAAAAACATTTTTCGAGTGTGTTGAAGTTAACTCGACACCACTAGAAATGCGCCATATGTTGATCAGTTCTGTAATTGTCGTAAAGTCAAACATGGACGACGCTACGGATTTTGCCACGATTTCTCTGAAAAAATGTAAATAATCTTTGAATTATTTACATTTTTTGTCGTACAGACATCTGTATTTTCTAACTTGTTCGATGAAGAATTCCAAATCTATTTATTTCCTCGTCGTTTTCGCTGCACTTTCTGCCATTACGACAATCAAACTACACGTGACTAATACACGTGACTACGCGTCACAAATCCTTGCGTTTTTATTGGTTGCAGTACAACAGAAGCGCGGGACGAAAACGGAAAAGTTAAATAATTTTTAACTCTGCTTTTCGGTCTTGTTTCTGTCCAACAGAACGTTCCAAAACCGGAAGTTTCGTCAGTTTGGCTTTCAGTTTTACGATTACGTCGCGGATTCCGGTAATGTGGAGTTCAGGCTTTAGTCATTCTTTTGCTGTTTTGCGACTAGAACCTGGTTCACAATTGAAGTACGAAGTTTTATTTGGGAGATCACGAAAGAACAGTCGTGTTTCGTTACGTTTAAAACATTTTCTGGAGAATATCACTGAATTTCCATTATCACTGAAAATACTTAGTGATAATGGAAGGAAGGTTAACGTTCCATTGTGCTATTCATTACAGTCAACACCAAATGATTCCCATAAGCTTTGAATTTCATATCATGTCGCTTTCGAAAATTTTCAAGCCATCTATTTGAGGCTTTAAAGCGAACGACACCTAATTCATATGCATCTTTGGCTGACTTGGATGATGGCTATGATATAAATACATTCCAGTGCATGCCGTGACATTTGATGATAGGGAAGCTGTGTTTCTGTAAGAAGCCGACTTCCAGGGGCAGTCAGTTGATCGCGCGTCATTGATAGTCTAGGGTCAATTCGTATTCGTTTATTCGATAAGCCAGTAAAATCCGTAGACTTCTCTAAATGTATTTTTAATATCACAATTATATTCTGAATTGCTAGCCACGATATAAGTGCTACAATTAAAAATAAAATAATGAAAACTTACTTGGTGAAATAAAATGTGTGGTGGATGTACAGTACTGTACAGTACATACCTGGTACAAAATATTCTTCAATTGTATGAATATACTTTTAAAGAAAATTATAATTAAATATAACTTTGTAAAAAAAAAATATATAAAAATAACATAAAATATTCTTTACTTTTTAAATCTTAAAACAATCCACTTAGTCAAATAGCTTCCACCGCTTTCAAGACTGCACGCCACTGATACATTCTGACTTTTGACTTTTCAGAACCACTACTTTGCCGACTAAATCGCTATTACCACTTTGCAATTGTCGGGTTTACTACTTCTTGCCATTAAGATGTCAACTGTTGAATCGGTCTTCATGTTTTTTGACAACTTCCTCATTTTTTCTCAATCTTGAATACTTTTGTTAATTATCTCATTCCACACGTCTCCCATTTGTGTTATTCAATAATTTCCATTTTGTCCTTCAATGATTTACATAAAGCCATATTAACATAATCACACGAAACACACGTGGCATCGGAGTCATTCATTACCATTAAGGTTGTTGGAATATTTCGAGGTGCACTCTACTTCCAGCTTGCCATCCTCACTGGCATTCATCATGTGGAGTTCTGCGTTGGACTGGAAGATGTTTACCTCTTACTCTGTCGTGTACTTGTCACCTTTTTTTCCGTTTGAGCCTCGGATTAATCCTTTATTGGGCTGTAATTTGAAAAAAATTGTAGACCTATAAATTCCCATTGTCGTCCGGCTGCCTGCCTGTTCTTCCTTATTCTCAAGAACAGTGTTAGAATAAATGAAAGTCGAGACTAGATATGAGAAGCTTAGGGGCAGGAGGCTTGATTAACTATATACGAACTTCCGGCCTAGATCGGAAGTCACGAGATTTCAATTAAAACTTTCCCTAGAACGGAATTACATAGATGACCAGCATAACATTGAGACTGTTATCGAGAAAAGTATAGTATACACAGACGAGGCACTATTAATTTCAGATCGAGAGCATATACTTTAAATTATATATATTAAACATATGAATAAAAATTACAACCCAGCATTTTGGCGATGTCACAATAATTTTTGCTCGTTTTGTTCTTCTGCAGCCTTTTGGGATAGAATATGATGGTCTAGGCTGCGCATGCATTTTATTATCTTGAAAGCCTCGCAGCTTTTGTCGATTCGGTGAGCTCATCACCATTACTGTTTCGCTGTTTTTCCGTTTCCGTGAGACTGATGTTGTCACCGCAGGTACTGATCTAAGTCCTTCAGTAAAACCGAACTGGACTGTTGTGTACCACAGCTGCTTCTTGCTTTTCTGCTACTCTAGCATTCGCTGGAACTTCTCTCTACGTCTCCATAAAATTTTGCTCTGTTTAAATATAATCATTGAAAGGGTAGATTCCCGTCGCCTTAAATCCGTTAATGCCTTTGGTCATAGTCATCACTCTTAAAACTAATTGATCACTTTATCCTCATGCGCCGACAACCATCATTCCACTTCCTGGTTATAAAACATTTTGAACGGCTTCATAAAACCCATGTCCAAGGAAAGCATTTGATGTGTGCTGTGGGGATGTAGACAAACGATCGACACAAAGTTTTGTCATGCGTAGTCAAGTACCTCCAAGTTTCGCGTGTCCGTCCAATATGAGCAACACGAAATCCGCGTCGTTTATTCTTGTTGTGTCGGACGAAATGCGTCATCCATTCAATCAACTTGGATCAATTCTGATGAATGGAATCCAGCGATTGCGTCTGGGGGTCCATGGTTTGGATTGGTCTTATTCGTATAAGGCAACGCGACACATGAGCGAGAGGCATTCTGCCAAGGACAGAATGCCTCTTGGGAAAGTTTTTTAAAATGAAAAACTGGCCCTATTTACGTGTTACCAAAGTAAAGAAAATCCGGAAATTCCACGTAGCCAGTCCAGTTAACCAGGCGTGAATCCACGGAACAAATTATCAATGTTTAGTGGCTTTATCCACTCGGTCACTGATGGTTCCCCGTGAACTCTCTGTCCAGAAACGCTTTACAGTGACGTTTTCCGGGAAATACGATCATGGGAGGAATGTACCGGTCAGCGGTGAACACGCACATCACTATGGTGATCAGCTTGCTCCTCTCTCCTAACGAAGGTTTCTGGACAGCTCTTCTATCCTTCACCGGAATGGCCTGAGAATTTTTGCCTTGAACACAAGTTATCCGTTAATGTTGACCAGTCGATTTGTCTTGTGTTTCACTTTGTCAAGTTTGGCTTTGGACGGCTGGAAAAATTGCCCTTTTCCCTCTGTGAATCCTAGAATCCTTGCTTTCGAAAGCGAATGCAAGGTTTTCACAGACAGCTGCGGATGACGTTTGAGGAACTGTGCCAATCATCTACACCCAATGGATTGTCTGTCCTGCGAAAACGGATGCGACACGTTATTTTGGCACCAATTGGAATGCTATTTGTTTCACGTCGTGTATAGTCAACCCAAAATAATTCCTTTCCGTTTCAGTATGGTAGGAAAGCAATTCGTCCTCTAAAAGTGCGGCGAGGGTGCGACTATGCAGACGCGAATTTAGAGCGAGCGAGAGGTTGCGAGCGATTTAGTTTTCGCAAAGGAAAACCATGTACAAACGAGAAGCGAGAAATAACTCTGGCGAGAGCGAATTTCTGGTTCTCGCACATATCTGACAGGTTTTGATATTTATCGCGTCTCGCCTCTTCTCGCCACATATTCTCGCTCACTCTGAAAATTCGCTCGCTCGCTTCTGCATAGTCGCATCCTGAGGACTGATGGTTTGCTAATAGATTTGCGGCAGAAGCTGCCTTCTTCATGTAATTAAGACTCCTGGAAGGTCTACCCGGGCAAACCAAATGTTTTGGAGGCCTTCAAAATGCCCATCTGCTTTGTTTGCAAAGCATACACTGCAGGCTGCATGCTTACGGTATTCCATTGCTGTCTGCGTTTCTTTTCCAACATTGCCAGATAGTAATCCAACGACGCACAAGGCCAGCTGTTTCCCTTTCGTTGATACAGCACAGTGCACCCAATACCGAGTTCCGCACGCCAGTCACTGCCGTATATACTGTATGCACCAATCGTATATTCTAGAACACGAGTGACGATTCGAGAAATGGAAACATCTAGAATATTA